CAATCCGTTTTGACTCTCTGCATTTCAGTAGCAAAATGACCAGTACCTTCACGCAAGCCACCAACCATTTCCTTCGACTGCCGCTCACACTATTTTGTTAAATACAAACAGTAATAAATAATAAAGGATTGTGTAAACAACAGAAGCTGCTAACACATGTCTATATATCTGACATATACTTAAGGGGGGGGGGGCTTCACATCAACTTGCACGGAGCCCGGCAATTGTCCGGGTAGGCCTATGTTTTAAAAAAGTAACGTAATTCTTGGAATTAGGTTTTAATGGCATATTTTCTACAACCGTCACGATTAGACAGATATGTCAAAATGGAAGCAATAAATAAACAATTGCGCCTTCCATTTTTTTCGGTAAGTTTTACTAGCATGACAGCTACTGGTAAACAAACGTTTAATTTTCAAGTATTCGCGTAGTGTGTTATTTCCCGCAAGTGCCTCATTATGTTACACTTAGCACGACATATTCATGCAGCAAAACGAAGACCCGCGTGTCACGGATCTCGAAGCAATTTCCACTGAAGTTTATAATGCCATTAAATTGGGTAGGGAAATCAAATTGTAGAACTATTCATAATTATGCATAAAAGAAAACTGAAATTGCAAGTGAAATATCGAACAGACCAGAACTTTGAATACTGTTCATATGTTCCAAAATAATTACACGGTAAAACACGTTTCCGTTTCCTGTACCTCTTACTTTATAATCAATAATGCCACGCTCCATAACTATAATTTAAAATACCATATGTGTAGAAGATTTCTCAGCCTGAGGTTAGCAGTAGAATATGTCAAACGGGTTGCCTGAACTGCCACACAACTATTGTTTCTGTACTGCTACTACAGAAATTGCACGTGCTCGTATATCGATTAACTGAATATCAACATCATCATCATCATCAGTAATCTGTCAGACGACAGGTCCACAGTCTCTTCCAAAACAATTCCTCCACTTAATGCGACCTAGAGCTTTCTACTTCAATTGACAGTATCCTCTTCTGTCCCCAAGGTCATCCAGCATCTTCTTACGTCTTCTTCCTCGTCTTCTGGTCACTTCTATCCGCCCTTCTATCTTTCCTTCAATAACTTCTTTTAGAGGGAAGTTTCTGCGTAAAACATGACCAATCCAATTAGCCTTCCGTTTTCTTATTTCGTGTAGGATCTTCCTCTACTCATTGACTCTAATTAACACTTCTTCATTTCTCACATAATCGGTCCAACTGATCTTCTCCATCCTTCTCCAACACCACATTTCGAAACTTTCCAGGTGTTTCTGATCTACTGCCCTAAGTGTCCATGTATCAGCCCCATACAGAGCTATGCTCCAAATATAGCATTTCACTAGTTTCTTCCTCAAATTTAAGTCCAATTTGCTGGTAAAAAGATTCTTCTTCTTGCTAAATGCAGCTTTTGCCATGGCAATCCTGGATTTAATTTCACTAGTACACCTTCCATCATCTGTTAACAAGCTACCCAAATATTTAAAACATTTCACATTCTCCAGTTGTTTTTGGTCTATCTTTATTGTGACTGGGGTTGGTTGTCTCGAAATTTTCATTACTTTTGTTTTCTCCACATTCATTTCCATGTCATAGCACCTTCCAATTTCAATTAGTCTATCAATCATGCCCTGTAGCACAGTTTCTTCCTTAGCCATTAACTGAATATACAGGGTACATAAACTTAGCAGGTTATGCAATCGAGTCCCATCAACTTCCGATATACGCTGCAGGACGAGTACAGAGCGTCTGGAAGAAACTACTTCTCAAGACGACACCTTCCCCAAGAATAGAAAGTAGGCCTACGGTCTACCTATTACAACAGGTCTACTTGCCATCTATACTGATGTAAATACAACCTTCACATTAAAATTCATTTACGCCTTCCTTACGCAAAAAGGGGTATAAACTGCGAAAACAGTAACATACTTTTCAAATGTTACGTATGTAGTTTATATCGACTGAAACACAATTTCATTCGGCGTACAACTAAAACATATGTATCTTTATTAGTGTCAATCGCTGTTTACTTACGTGTATGACACATACATCCTCACATACCACACAGTAATACTAATATGTATTTGATTAAGGTCTTCACTAAATACTGCAGAACATATGGTATTGCAAATTGCCCTAACATGCATGCATATGTACAACATGCGTTATCTTAATTGAGCTGCCTTCTCTCATTTCCCCTTATGTCACTTTTACAGAATTGCTTACTCTACAACCCTGATGCTAACGTGATTCTTAACTCCTTTTATGAAAGAAGCATAGGGACAGGCAGGGCTTTGGAAAAATAACGAAGTTATGTCGACTCGTATGACTGTCGCCGGTAATGAAACACTGTTCGCTGTAGGCGGAGTAACTTATTGGCACGGTTAGTCGCTGGCTTCCCACCGCGGCGGCCCGGGTTCGATCCCGGGTCTGGTCAAGTGGGATTTGTGGTGGACAAAGTGGCGCNCGGTAGGACTCCTTGGGCGAGTGATCAGCTCGTCGCAAGGCCTCTACCTGTAGACAAACACAGAAAAACGCACACAAACATCCATGCCCTGAGTGGGATTCGAACCCACGATCCCGGCTTCCGAGCGAGCGAAGACAGTGCATGCCTTAGACCGCTCGGCTACCGTGACCGGCTGTCCCACCCCACTAGCAATGAAAAAAACTTACTGGTAGCAAAGTTATAGCTCAAGTGGGTTTCGGGTACTGCGTTGTGAAGTCAGGGCTCCACAATTTAAACTTCAAAATTGTGAACATATTTTCGTAGGACGTCACGGATAAAATAACCAGGATTACTAATGTTTCAATATTAATTAATCAATCTAATTTGAGTCTTCCTCTCTCTCTCCATTATTATGTTAATCCTACATTAAAATTCTTATTATTTCAGAGTAATCACAATCCATCTCTTTCATCCATACGTTCGCTTCTGGCCTTTCTGCATTTAGTTTGCGTATATCTTAAAGACAATTTCTGTCAGTACCATCTGAGTAAGATTTGAGGTTTTCGCGGCAGTTACTATGAAGAATGCCGTCCTCTGGGATGTGGCGCCGTGAAGATACTATGTGAACCGACGATTCGGAGGAACGCATCGCCTCCATTTTCAGGATAGAAAAATCTGTGAGCGAGGAACCAGCGGTAAGCAGGTGGCTGCACTCTGCACGCTGGTTCCTCAAAAAGGGTTCGACTCCTTGAAGTCAGTTACTGCTAACAAAACTACATTGTTTTAACGCAACTGCAGTAATAAAATAAATTATTAAAAACTGTCGCCATCAAATGCGGATAATTATAAAATATATTTCTCGGGAAAAGGGAAGAAAGTTTGGTAATTGTCGATTTTAGCATCCCTACGTATTCACACCATTGAAAAAAGTTGCTAAAAGCTTACATATGTCTCCAATAATTCTATTAGCTGTAACTAATTAATCCAAAATGTTTAAACTGTATGAGCTCTTTTCAACTGGAAGTATCAATACAACAGTGTTTCAGGAACGGGTTAGCAGTCTACCACCCTCTTACTACTTTAATAAAAATACTGCCTTTTCAAATCAAAAACAAGAATTTACTTTTTTAAACTTTACAGAAAAGAGAAATTTGATGGTTAAAGAACAGCTGAGAGATGCTGGACTGAAAGCTGAAGTATTATACCGCATTTAATGGTACTGAAGTAATGTACTCTTAAATGGAAATACCATGATAATGGTTACGAATAACAAAAAAGATAGGTTACTTAGGTAACAAGCACACTGTTCTCGGTTCTAAATGGGCTGGCAATAAGTTCACAACTTAGTTTGCTAATTTACTTCTATGTTCCTTCTTCTCCTTTACAACACTTTCATTCCACGAGCTCGGGGCCTGCCTGCTGTTACCTTACTAGCCTTCCTTTAGGACACAAGGTTCAGCTCTTACGTATACTAACCAAGATTAATATCATGGAAACAATTTCAGGACATAAACTCTTGACACCGCATAGGTTTATGGGGAGACCAGTCATGAACGAGAGGAGTCGTGTTTAAAAGTACTGCAAACTGCAAAACCCAGTTTTTATAATCTGCAAATGCTACACCGAGGAACAATTACAACGCTTCTAATGTCGCAATATTATAGTCGTGTTTTTTCTACAAGGAAAAGAGGGGCCTATACGCACTTCACGTGTAGAGAGCTGATTAGGCATAAAGCAATAAAAGGACGACGTGTCAGAAACTACGTTGATATAAAGAGGATAAAACTGGGAAGGAAATAAGCTCTGAAGATCTGGGCGCCATTTTGCTGACGGATATTAGAAGTTAACCGCCCTGGAAATATTTCGGATATGAAAACCAGTTACTTTGTCTTTAACAAGATGTACAAAATACAGCTAATTTTCGAATTCACGTGATGAAATGTAATCCTTCTTGTTCTGAAATACTCCTAGAAATGAAGCCGCGTGTAAAATACTGACTGGTAAGCAATATAATAGACGGTGAGTTCTAGCTTCTGGAATATAATTCCGTGTAGTCCGTTGCAGGTCAACCGAAGTTTCGGAGGAACATGTCACCTTCATCTTCAAGGTCGAAGAATACGGCAACAAACCAGCGTGAAGCAGGAAGCGCCTGCTACTAACCGATGATTGACTTCCAACGGACCTCACAGCATTATATCCCGGAAGATGGCACTCTTCATAACCACCGCTGTGAGAACCTCAAATCCTACCACAACTGATTACAAAGGAGGCAGTGAACGTAAGAGTTTCAGAAGGCTTTGGGGCAGGTGGACCCTGGGAAACTGAACTGTAGGTATGATACTGATGGAGAAGTATGAAGACCATGAAGAAAGGAGTTAAACTATATGAAGATTCTGTGTCACGAATTCAAATAATATTCTTTATGTGCCGATCTGAAGCAATGCTTCTGGCTCATTGGCAGGTCTCTCACATGCGAGAGACGACCTCACATTCGGGGAAATGCGAAGGCACTGGAGAGACAAGAGAATTAAATTCCCTCACCTTCTGGGCTCGGAGGGACATCGTCATCATCGTCTCCGGAGCCGTGGCAGCGCGTTCCTTCTGAAGGTTCTTCCACTTGCCGACAGATCGCATCTTGCAGGCTACTGTACGCCGGCCCCGATGGCCCTCCAGTGGAAGGGGGAGGTGGAGAGGTTAACGTTGACATCACTGCAGCTTGTGCAGCGCTGTGACGACCGCTTCAAGGCATCCTTCTGGCAATACAGCGTGTCAGCCAACTGAAAACAAAACAGGAATATCTTCAGCCACACAGTTGGCATGCTTGCTCGTTATACGTCATACTACAGTATGGGCTGATTAACCGGTTTAAAATCCACTCACGACTGTTTATTTACATCAAATTTTAAAATTAAACTTCATTCAAACTTTGGTAGTGGTATTTCCTCCACATGAGATGAAGTTAATAATTATATCGCCGAGACTCGGTTTTCAGTCTCTCGTTTGTAAAAACGGGTTACACGCCAGGCTTCATAATGTGCAGTCTACAACGCACCCTGAGACATTACGTCATGAAAGTCATTTCTGAAGCCCGGTCAAATATGCAAGTCAGACCCAAAGTTAATACATAAAATGCACTGTGAGCCTCGTCAGCGAACATCGCGGACCAATGGTTAGTAATCTTACTTCAGATATCGAAGGCCATGCGTTCAAACCTCAACACGGAGACCTGCTATTCTGACTGGAGTTATTTTAGCATTCAGGGATAATGGTGTAAAATAAGCCACAACTGCTCTCTTTCGTTTTGCTGCCAATCTATCTTTTAACTTTTAAGAATTATATTTCTTCTAAGTATTACACAAACATTCAATTCGTACCTCAGAAAAACACATTATGACTCAGCAACGAATATCAACCGGATAATGCTCCTTCGGTAAACAATCACGGTTTGCCGCGAAAACCGTTCGTAATATACAAATACATTCTGAGGGCAGAATGCAGAGTTTCAGTATGTTAAAGCAGATAGTGCTTATAGATCCATTGGGCTTGTGAAGATTAAAACAAACGCTATAATTCGAATATATAATTTATGCAGCTGAAGATCTTGCATTAAATAAACCACAACTCAATCAACAGGTACACACGTAAGAAGCTATGTACATGTTAAGGCGCGTCCACATTACTGGTGCTCGTGCTCGTGATCGCCAGGCTAGTGCTCGTCGGGAGACTCGTCTGGCTTTTATTTGTGCTCGTAAATCTTCGTCCACACTACTTCAGTTGCTCGCCAGGTTTCGGCGCGTGAGGATCCGTATATTTACTCGTAGTATGTATAGGCTGTAGTCGTATTTTAATTTACTGGCTATAGTTTTTAAATTAAAAGTTTAAAATTTGCTTGTTTCGTGACTTATATCGTCCACATTACTCGCGAGCATAGCGAGTCACACGAGCAAGAGTAATGTAGACGCGCCTTTACGTTTCCACACTGTACTCGTACCTACTGCGTAAAGCATACAGCACATCACCCCCAGAAATGCTCTTCCTCCGACCGCTGTAAACCAAATGCAGTAACCTGTAGCTACTGAAAAGTGGACTATCGTTCGGTTTATGAGATAAGAGACGTGAAGCCGTTTTCATTCAACGTTATGCTTTATTTCCTATATCTTCTGTAGGTGTCGCCCGCATATTAATAATCCCATTTAATATTCTATGCGAGGAAGGTTTTAAAATATGTACAACTGAATACATTCTGAAGAACAAAAGTGGCACATAAGACTTCAATATTCAACTACACGGATATACACCCAACACAAATACACATAACTACGGCTATTAAAACTACTTTAATCGGGGAACCGATATAAAGATGGATCCTTATATTAATTTTCGAACCTAAGAATCCAAATCGCCGGTCACGGTAGCCGAGCGGTCTAAGGCATGCACTGTCTTCGCTCGCTCGGAAGCCGAGATCGTGGGTTCGAATCCCACTCAGGGCATGGATGTTTGTGTGCGTTTTTCTGTGTTTGTGTACAGGTAGAGGCCTTGCGACGAGCTGATCACTCGCCCAAGGAGTCCTACCGAATGTGTAAGATCTAGAAAAACCGAAGTGAACGGAGAAGTTCATGGAGGTAGGCCTAGACGCACTGGGGCTGTAGTGCCAAGGGGTGGGGGGGAGAATCCAAATCAGCCAACAATTAATATTTACCTCTTATACTGCCAAATATGTTGTAGTTTGTTTCGTACTAACATTCCTTATAATTCGAAGACTTGCCTCAAAGTCTCAATACCTCTGTTTACTGTTACGTTGTTTGTATGACCTAATTGTGGGGCACCTTCAACCAAACCTGTTTCTACAACATATTCACATGTCAATCTTTTGTTGCTACTTTCGTGACAAAATAAGCGTAAATTCATCTATTAATTTGCCGATAAATTAACTGCTGAATAGTTAATCGACTGAAGATCATTAATGAAACGTACTGTAATTCAGAACACAAAGAATTATAGTTACATTACTTACAGTATAGAAGAAGTAATTATTATCACTTTTCTAAGAATATTTCTCTCCAAAATGGCGATTTCCAAAAATTATTATGCGTCTGTGTAAGATCTGAGGTTTTCCCGGCGATGACTACGAAGAATACCGTATTCTGGGATATGGCGCCGTGTAGATAGTGTACACCGACGTTTCGGAGGAACGTATCCTCTCCATCTTCAGGGTATAAAAATCCGCGTGCGAGGAACCAGCGTGACCAGAGTCTGCAGCCACCTGTTCACGCTGGTTCCTTGTTAGTGGATTTTTATACCCTGAAGATGGAGACGTTACGTTCCTCCGAAACCTCGGTTTACACAATATCTACACGACCCCACATCCCAGAAGACGACATTCTTTGTCGTATGCCTATTATTAGAATAATTTAATTGTCTCTGAGCACTGTATGCATAAGCTTCCGTAAATTTATTGCATTCCCTTTCATGTACTGTTTCGCCATTTGTCTCGAGACAATTTCGACATTAAAAACACCGACACGCGTGCTATAGGACACGTTAAATAACACCTAACTTCGTGAATTTATCGCATTAAGACTGCCTACACAAGCTGATTTTTCGAGTATACCTACAAATGAGGCCGCGCCATAGCTCAAGCGGTTAGTCGCTGGCGGCGGCCCGGGTTCGATCCCGGGTCTGGTCAAGTGGGATTTGTGGTAGACAAAGTGGCGCTCGGGTAGGTTTTCTCCCAGTATTTCGGTTTCCCCTGCCAATCTTCATTCCACCAACTGCTCCACAATCCATCTGGGGCTGGTACAATAGGCCAGAAGTGGCCGCAGTACAAGGGACTTAGTCCCAACCTACCAGCAATAAAAAAAATACCTACAAATAACGCCGGTTAATGTGTAAGTAGTAACCATGGAAAATTGGATGAAATAAGGTTGTACTTTAAACGAGTTCACATGTTTCAGTTACGTGAATATTCCAATTTTGGGACGCTTGCGCACTTTACAGACTGTTAAAATAGGCCTACATGTAAGTCAACTAAATTCATCACAACACACACGAACTTGAAAATTTAAGCAAATGGAGAAAGTAGATTATGGGATGTATAAATAAGCACGAATTAATTAGCAGTACTGAGATTTAAATTATTAAACTACTTCCTTAAGCACAGATTACAGAAAGAACCGAACCATCATCAATCTTTGTTGCAGCGCTGAAATGACGTAGGTGTTAATAATCTTGCCATAGGGAAATTAATTAACAACTGAGATTTGTTCCACTTTTGCTCTCGGTTCCACATATGGAAGACGCATGATTCCATTTCGGACCCCCAACTGTTTAGCTGATTTCTAATCCAACGATCGCTACGCCACGGCTTTTAAAACGGATTTGGTGTGTACAATCGAGAAAACAATAGAAAGCATGATTGCGCTTGAATAATAATACTCCTAACGATCTTTAGAATATATGAAGAGACTGGGTAGCCAAATATGGAGGAGAGAAACAGCTAAGAGATCAAGATGGCGAAAGAAAAAAATAGCAACTAAAAAGCGAAATTTAAAAAAACACAGACCTTAAATTCAGAGAGAGAATACGTTGTGTTCTTGTTTTTTGATTGGGTATGGCCACCAAGTGTGTTTCAGGTTTAGGAAAAAAAATAAGTGGATGATTACGTCTCTTAAAAATGTCGAGTATTAATGTGTAGCGCCGTTATGATAAATGAATTTCTTGAATTCAATTTTACGCTGGTTTCTATGGGCAAAGTACGGGCTGTGTGAAGGCTGATGAAGCAGAGGAAGGTGAAGGGTTACCTGTATGACTAAATTAGTCATTCAGTCAGAGAAAATCATGCTCGCTGCTTCTCAGTGCCCTGACCGAATGAAGCATCCTGGCTGTTCTCATACCAATGTATGAGTAAATGTAAAATGTAAATGTAAAACAGTGGAACTGTCTCCGCTGCTGTAATAAATGCAGCTTTTTCGTAGGAATATTGCAACGGATTTTAGCAACCCGTTGCTAGGCAACAGCTCTGTGAACATGGTCCAACACGTAATAATAGAGGATGATTTGTTTTCTGTAGACCCGACCGACGCGCCAACAGACTAGCTGGACAGCGATCACGTGATGTGCTTACTATAGGTCCATGTCCGTTCCGCGGCTATATAAGTAAGAATGTCAGAATTCGTTCAGGGAACCTACGAGTCAGGCGTTAGCTGGAGGAGTGAGTCCAGAATAAATTTTAGCTCCGAGGTTCCAGAGTGATTGAAGACGAAATAGTAAGATTTCATAGTGATCCGCAGTGCTAATTTCTGTGCTGAGATCCGTTGCTAGGAGACGATTAGTGGGGGCTGAGAATCCTATTGCGTGTGCAACGGTGGATTGGAATGTGTATGAATAGCGACAGCGCTATAATTACGTGTAATTACTGGTGGTGTGTATCAGGAGTAAATAAACCCGTTCATCCAACCCAGAACCCGCGTTATTAGCCACTAATGCACGCGATAATATGTTCTATCGTACTTACTTCTCAAAGAGACCTAGTTTATTTGTAACCCCCCCCCAGCCGCATTTTACGAAACATTCATTGTCAAAGTTCAGAGGTTTTCGCGCCGAGATTGACTGCCAGCTGATCACAGTGGTTGCGCGGTCTAAAGCACGAAATTTCTTTGCCCACTCAAACACGGATTGTGGGTTCGAACTGCACTCGAGGCATTGATGTCTGCTTCTTCTGTGTTTGTGTTGACCTGCGTAGGTAGCATCCTTGCGAAAGGACTGATCCCTCATCCAA